AATTTTTTAAATGGTATGTCTTAAATGTTATATGTTTTAGAATCGTTATATAATTTTTAAAAAATGTAATAATCTAATGTAAATGTTTCTTCTTATCAGTTGACTGATGAGGGGCTATATGCCCGAAACGTGTAAAAGTGCCCGTATCAACTGAATAAAGTGGATAAACGCCAAGTGTTTTAATAATAACACAGTCTTGTGTTCAATAGTAAACAAACATCAAACTCAACTATTAAGCTACATGAACAGCCACAATGTAAAGAAGAATAAAATTTAATACTTGTTCTTTTTCACCTTCTTCACTTTTCTAACATACATTGACATGTGTATCATTAATTTAAATAAGACATGCAAGGAGCTGCCATACCAATATAGCTGCTCCTTGCATAATGATGTGTTGCTATTGATCTTGAGCTATTGAGCTATTGCATTTTTATGATAGCCTATCTAACCATGCTGTCTATATAAACCATCAGCAATGTGGGTGACACACTCATAAATTTCTAGTTACATCAACGAAAATGATTACAAGTAAATGCATTTTGTAACTAGGATATCCTTTGAATAGCACTTTCCATGAAGAAATTTATAAAAATCAGAATGCTTTTAAACTCAAAAATAATTAACTTTTTAGCTGAATTTTCTTGAAAAGCTAAGAGAATTGATAACTTAGTTATAGTATAAACAAGTTTGTTAACATTATTAAAGAATTTTATAAAGTTTTAAATTTAACATATTTAAAAATTATTCAAAAACTACTTACTTATATGATTTTATAATTACACATTACTGTATAATTATAAAATCATATAGCTTGAAACTATTAAGATTTCTTATTTTAATATAAAAATCAGAAGACAGTGAAAAAATAACAAAATTTGCTAAAAATCACTGATTAATTAATATTAATAAATGAAAATGTACAATATTTGATTACATAGTCTTTCCAATTATGTTGTTATATACAAGTATTCAGAAAGAGTAAATGTAATTAAAAATTTGTTATGTACCTGAAAAGGAGCCTTTCCAGTAAGACATTGGAAAACAATTGTTCCAATACTCCACAAATCTGCTTTAGCATCATATTGCAGAGACATTATAACTTCTGGTGCCTATATTTTATAAATAATAATAAATGCATTATACTATATTATAAAAAATTCTAGTATAACAGTATTTCCCACTAAATATAAATATTACAATATTTTATTTCTAATTTATGTTTCAGTTAAAACAGAATAAAATTATTTTAAAATATTTTTTATTTTATGATTATTATATTATTAAATCTTCAGCTACTATACAGGGTGGGGCATTATTAAATCTTCAGCTACTATACATTTTTGAAATGGCTAGAATTCACCACCAGGTAGAGTGACAGATGTGTGGTAGGTAGCATGAAAGTAGTGAGGTCTTAGCATTGTCTTTTCAGTTGAAGGCATGGAGATGTGGATGACAGAACACCATGTGTTTGTGTACGATTGAGGAAACAGTTGTATGCAAAGGGGATCACTCAGTCATACACATTTGATAGAAAAACGTTTCCGCATCTTTGCGTATGATGGAAACGTATTCCTGTCAGATGTGTGTGGTTTCAACAGGATGGGGCAATGGCCCACACAGCTAGAGCATCAACTGACATTATTTCTTGTCCTCATTTCCAGTTTCAGTGACATTCATCGGCCTCCTCATTCGCCCAACCTATCCATGTGCGATTATTTCTTGTGGGGACACCTCAAGGCAAATGTATATGAGCATAAGCCTGTTCTTTTCAAGAACTGAAGGAAGCTATTTGTGTGGAAGTCACCAAAATTGCTTCCAGAAATGCATCACTGATAATGGACACCACATGGTAAATGTTGTTTTCCATACTTGATTCTCTAAAATGCTATTTCAATATGAACTCACATCTTCCAACAAATACCTTTTGTAGTAACAATTACAGTTTTTAAAAAACGTTCGTCCTTTCTGCCCCACCCTGTACATCATCTGAAAGATACAAAATCTCTAATTAATCTCTCTTATGTGTAATTTTATTATACAAGTACAGACAATTTTCTCTTTTAATACTTTATTACAATGACAAACGCTTTTGATATATTCAGTTAATATCACTAAATCATCTTCACAAAATGCTTGGAATACTAAAGTTTAAAGATGATTCTACTTGAATCTATATTTTGCATGTTAAATTTCACTAATAAATTACTTCAAAGCTTTCCAACAAAAATATATTTAGAAATTTTTCTTACTCTATCTCTGTATTTTCAATAATTTGAAAATATATTTGTCAATGAATATTTCCATCAGTTAGAATTTGACAACTAATCTTGATAAAATGTCCTAAAAATATATATGCTGTTGAAATTTTTGATGAAATTTCAACAGCATATATTAGTTAAGTCACATGAAATTTTTAATTATTCAAAATTTGAAAATTAATATACATTTTCAAAATAAAAACACATAAATCATTATTATTAATAAATTAAAGAATATTAATTATAATATTTACCATATACATAGGGGAACCACACAATGTAGCTGCCATTACACCATCCTGAAGAAAACGAGCAAATCCGAAATCAGCTATCTTCAACGTAATATCACTTGGTAAAGAACTTGGTTTTCCAGAATAACATAATAAAATATTTTGTGGTTTCAAATCTCTGTGGACAATTCCTTTTGCATTCAAAGCCTTCATAGCACCAGCTATATTTAAGAAAAAAATTAAAAAATAATATAATCATTATTTAATCGATTTTAAATAATTTTCTTCTCTTATTTTTAATAATTCTCTACTATAAAATGTTTTGAACTTTAAAACATAAAACTTATCAATAGTAAATTAAAAACTTTAAAATATTTCAGAAAATATTTTGGGAGAGAGATTTCCTTGCTGCACAATTCAAGAATTGTGAAGCACAGAGTCTAGAAAATCAACTTAATTGTATTTAAAGTACATTTTCTATTTTGAATAATTTAACAGCTTTTCTATAAAATTTATTTAAGATGGAAATCTAAAACTGCCCGTAAATATAACTTAAATGCTTAAATAAAATAATTTATAAATAAAAATCTTACCCAGTTGTTTTAAAAACAAACAAATTGTATCCTCACTCAAAGTTCCTTTTGCTATTTAAAATAAAATTTATATTTTTTCATTAATAAATATATATAAATGTTTGATAATTTTATTTTATTCTGCTCTTTTAAAAATGTAAATAGATAAAATCAAATTTTTTTATTTTAAATACAGTAGAACCTCGATTATCCGGACTAATTGGGGATGAAGGTAGTCCGGATAAGGAAAAATCCAGATATTCGAAACAAATACTTTAATTTGTCTTTTAATGATAATACAACACGTTTTCTTTTCGATGACATATCGGTAATATTAAAAGTAAATACTGTATTTAAATCGTGATCAAATTTTCAAGAAACAAACGTTCGTATTGAATTTGGACTACTACTGACCAACGCTAACAGACTACCTATTGTTTAAAAGGCCCTCTGGTGGCGCAAGAAGACGGATTTTATAAAATAAAAAGCAGTTGAAACTGCATTTTTATGAATAAAAATTTGACAAACTATTTATCGTTTTATGACGAGTAAAATTTTTTCGTCGCGTTCGCGGCTTTTAAGTAATGCATAAACCTTCGAGGCGCGAGGCCCTTCGGACCGCGAGGCATAGGCGGTGGCCCACGTCGTCCATGCCTTACGCCGCCCTTGGTCATAGAAATGATGTAATTTGAATATAAATTATTTATAAATACGTATGTCAAGTTATATTTTTATTACTACGTAAAATATATTTAAGAGTTTACGACCACTGTGCTGGGTGAGACGTTGTTGAAACAAAAAAAGTTATGCATTCCATCACGTACATAAACAGTGTCGTAATTCGCCAAGTGCAAATCAGCAAATTTGTAAAATTTTTGTTTATTTTGAACAATCCAGATAATCGAAAATCCGGATAATTGAGGTTCTACTGTATTTTGAAATAATTGAATACAATTCTGTATGTCAATTTTTTCATAACCTCTCTTGGTGTCCACTTTACTTATGTGGCCAGAAATTGTATATACTAAAATGTGGCCACAAAGTGAAGTTTTGCTTTATATACATAATAATTTCTTAAAACTTAATATTTTAAATCTTTTCATTTTAAATTATACTGAATTATTCAATTATTTGAATTAGATTTTAAAAATTGAGTAATATAATAATTACCATGTAAATAATCTGCTAAATCTCCACCATTGCAATACTGAAATAAAAAAATTCAGAGTAATTTCATGTAAAATTTAAACTGATATTTTAATATGTCTTATCTATAATATTAAATAATTAAAAAAATATATATTCTACAATCTACTTTTATAGAACTACAGGAAATCCTTGTTAATTTGAACTTGAATAGTTTGAAATCCTGTTAGTTCATAAACTGTAGTTCATCTTGTATTGTTTGTCTGGTCAGGAATATACAGATTTACAAGTTAAGGAATTCAGTTAGTTTGAAATACTGCTACTTTAAAATTCAAAGTGAAAATCCTGTCCAAACTGTGATATGTGTATGTTAACTCATTCATTTAGATTGAAGTTTGTGTGTCACCATACTGTAAGAGAACAATAGCCCATGAACAACTCTAATCTGGTTAATATGACTTTACTTTAAAATTAACACATTTTTAGATGGCTCCTTGCACATCAACCACCCTTTTCTCTTATCTCATAAAATACGATTGAATTTCAGGGTTCCAAGATATGGCTACAAGTAGCAGATTGAGATATTTGTAGGGCTCTACACTACTACACTTGGGCAACTTATTACTTTTTGGGTTACTTTAAAAATAATTTGGACTACATTTTGAGAATTCTGCTTTACTTTATAAAACCTACCTGGCAACCTCTGAGGTTCTCACTAGCACATGCTGTTTACCTGCAGTTTATTTATATTATTATTAATAATACAAATAATAAGTAGTATTCTATATACATAAGTAGTGTTCTGTTTACAAAGCTGATTTCCATTTTCTTAATAAATTACATCAGTTACATGGCATTTGCCATATTACAATATGTAAATCTTAGATAATTTAATGTTGAAATAATTTTGTCTATAGAATTTCAAACTAATGAGGATTTTTTGTATTTTAATACAGTATAACCTCTGAATAGCAGACCAAGAAGTTTGTCTGCTATTGAGAGATAAAATACAGGATGGCTGCCAATATGTAATGTAGTTATCATATAGTGAAGAATATGATGGATTACATAAACAACAAATCTGTGTTAGGGATATGAAAATACCAAGAAATATATGTAACATATATAATTAAAATATATATATACAGTATATTAATTATCTTTTCAACTTTAAAAAATCACATTTTAATTGAATTCTAAATAGCAAACAGATTGTAGAGCATACCTTAATTAAATAGGAAAAAAAAATGACAAAAAAATGTAAATGTTGACTAATTATTAATTTATCAAAAACAATCTGAGTGGAAGTAACGAAAAAGAAAAATGAAACTCTTATTAACAAATAACTCTATTAAACCTGATACATTAACACCAAAGCCAACCACTGCCATATGCTATCGAGCAGTGGTTGGCTTTGGTGAAACTGTTATTATGAACAGAAAGGTGAATGAAGATCGATTTAGATGACAAGAGTTCAAATGTGGAGTTACAGAGACAATTTGCTAGCCACTTCAAGGGATGAGAAATGTATTTGGTATTTTTGCATTTATAAGATCATTTATGATCTAAGTGACTAATAAAAATCAATATACAGTAGAGCATCGATTATCCGAATAGTGATCAACCGAAATGTCAACCGAAAGCTTTCCAGTCAGCAAATTTAAATTTCTGCTAGTGCTGTGGTGCTGCAATCTTTGGCTATGTCTTGGATTACTCCAATATTATTTTTGTTGGTGTGCATGTTTTAGCTGGCAGCACTGTCATAACCATGAGAGGGTACTTAAAAACGTGCCAGGATTTAAACGAATTTCTACATGGGATAGGTTAATATATTTTTTCGTACATAATCAGTTATCCAAAAAATCATTTTTCCAAACAACCCCAGTTTACAATTAATTCAGATAATCAATGCTCTACTGTATTGATTTGTCTACTTTGTAGTTATCAAGTAGGTGTAATTTTTGCTTTAAACAAACATCAAGAAACCCAACAGATCTGTAAAGCCAAACAATCACCAAATTACATCAGCTACTTTTCTGCAATTATATGTAATTAATTACTAAATAATCTGTCACTAGAGGGAGGTTTAGGAGCCATCTCTTATTAAATTTAATATAATTAAATTAATATTTATTAAATAATTTAGATTATTCATCCCAGTTATTTAAGGGTTTGAGTTCCACTCTCAGCAAATTCTTTTCTTCCAGAATATTCTAAATTATTTAATAAATATTAATTTAATTATAATTATTAAATTTAATAAGAGATGGCACCTAATGCCTCCTTCTAGTCACAAATTATTTAGTAATTAATTACATATAACTGTGGAAAGTAACCCAATGTAATCCAGTGGTTGTTTGGTATTTTTGCTTTTCTCAATACATGATTTATTAAAAATTACTTTAGCCAAAACTGTTAAGATCACAAATGACGTCCTAAATTCCATAAAACTGAATCTTCCTACACTTTAAAGTGGTTGGCAAATTGCCTTCATAACACAGTCTTGAACTTTCACTGAATAAATGCTGTTGTCTTAATCTTAAAATTGTTTCTTTTTCATTGCTACTATACTATTCTTGTCAAATGAATGAATAACTTTGAAAAAGTTTATGGTTTATTGTTACCATAAGCTTAATTTCAACAATAAGACATAAGTTTAATAACATTAACATGTATGATGATAAGTGGTGATTAACAACCTAATCACATTAGTCGTCTCTAACAGATAAAGAGTATTGTTTGGCTTTTTACAATCTGCCCTCCTCCCCCTATTCCTATTTTAAGCCAGTCTTCATTACATTCCTGTAGTCAAATTGTTGTCCCAAAGAGTATTTGAACCATTCTTTGTTTTTGTTTTAAAATATTTTGTTTGTAACTAATTCTTTCAGAATATTGAAAGCAAGACTTTGTGTTTTCACAAGGTAGGTTATTGACAACAGCATCTATTATTTAAAGTGTCCTCTACTTATAGGTAAATATAACAGATGTCCTATTTGAAGGGTCTAGGGATTATAAAAATGTCCATTAAGTACAGGTGTCTGCTATTTGGGAGTGTCCATTAATGGAGATTTTACCATAAAATAAATAATTATAATATACTGTGATTTCACAGCAGCATATAACCCAAGATCATGTATAACCACAGAAAATTGAAAGAACAAAATAAAATCTTAATATAATTAGCCCTACCATATACTCTACACCTCTGGGGCAGCCATTGAAGACAAGGTTGTATATACCAGTATGTATTATCAAATGTTGGAATAACATTTGTAAAATTGACTGATGAGGGACTAAAAAAGTCTGAAATGCATTTTGATTTCAATGAAGGATATTATAAGGAGTAACAGTTGTCTTCAGTGTCTAATCATTGTGACAAATATAGTAAAAAAAATTGGATAGAATAGCCAATTACCAAAAATGATAATGCTAATATGTAGTTTAGAAGTTGTCATCTCAAGCATTAACATATTGGGCTGGTTGAATAAAAGGTAGTAAATGCTTAAAAGTAATTAGTAAAAGTAAAAGTACTTACTGCCAATGTTCCCTCTAAGCTATGCGGCCGAGCACTGCTCAAATTGTTGCCGTGCACGAGAATTTGTGCGCCGCGCAGGCAAGCATCCACACTGATTGTTGTTTACTTATTTCTCACTCTGTCTGCAATATGATTATTGCTACATATTTTTCGATTAAATACATTAAATCATTGGCAAAAGATAATATTTTGTATGGAAGTATGTTTTAAAATAAATTTTAATCTCTACTTTATAATTAATTATTTTAATTTTTATAGGAAAAAATAAGATTATATATATATATATGCTCAGAAAATTTGTTTGCTCAGAATCTGCTCAGCAAAATTATCTTTTGCACAGAGAAGTACATATTCTGCTCAGCTACAAAAAGAATTAGAGGGAACATTGCTTACTGCAAGTAAAAACTTTGAAGTAAAAGTACTTACTTTTTGTGTGTGAATAAAAGCTTACTTTTACTTATTAGTAAATGCTTACACTTTTAAGTAAATACTGGCAACACTATCAAAATGGCATCACCATGTGAAGAAGAAAGCCAACTGATCTTTATGAATGTTTTAAAAAAATATAGATTATTATTAAACAAGTCACAGGTTCCTGCTATTAAAAGAAAAAAAGAAACTGCCCTTCAACAAATGATTGAAGAACTGAAGATAAATCATGCAATTGAGATAAATAAGAAGCAACTCATGAAGAAGATGAACAACATGAAAACTGACTTTAAAAAAGAAGACAGATCTGAAATAGACTGGGAATAACCTGATTGTGATAAAAGAATGAGAAAAGGTGATTTTTGATTTGGTGGATGGAGAGACAAACCTGACTGTAAATAGTATTGCGGGTAAGTAAACAATAAAGTTACAAATTTGTCCTGATTTAGCAAAACAAATCATCATTGAATGAAGGCATTTTTACTGTGTTACTTTCAACTAGCAAATAATTAATTTTTATTAATTCTAGGTGCACAGTCTGTAGGCATATTGGCAGGCCCCAGCAGTCAAAACCCGAAGTGAGTTTGATAATGAGAAAGATGAAAGGGCTGAAGAGCAGTCTTTTATATCTTCCATACCTCTTCCACCCTCTGGAAATGAAAATAAAAGAAAATGTATTCTTCCGGAACCAGAGGAAACTAAATTGTTATCAAACAGTGAGTTACAACAATTGTTGCTTCTTGAACAACTGGAATACATAAGCATGAAGAAGGGGTGACTCAATGAATCGCCCTCACCAACCATATTCTTATTGCCATCAAGTTCCAAATCATTAGAACATTCAGAAACTTTGCACATCGGTTAAAAACGTTTGTATGACAAATAAATAAAATGATTCTGCCTGACAAAATAATAAAGTTTGAAAAACTTTATTAAATAAACTCTTTATTAAAAAAACTTTGATCCAGCTAAATAATAAAGTTTGAAAAACTCAAACTTTATTATTTAGCTGGATCAAAGATTGTTGTATTTCTAAATTTTCGTAATTCATACAGTAAGAATAATACCAAATAAATACTGATAAACAACACTAATGATATTTTGAACAACATTGTGAAAAAATTTGAAAAAATATTCAATGTAACTTCACCTGATAGTAGAATCATAAAAATTTTTTCCCTCATTAGTAATAATTTAGTTATGAATCAATATTTATTTTTAGCAAATTTTAATAGTATGAAAATAAAAAATTACTAATAACTCATTAAAATCATGATGATGATGATAAATTTTTTCAAAATTATATATTCATTTAATTAGAAACTATTCACAAATTATCTCTAATATTTCAGTAAATGTAATTTTAGAAAAAAAAATAAGAAAATGTAACTGTTTTTTGGCATTATAAAGAATATAAGTGAACAAAGTTGACATTAATTGAACAAAATTCATACAAGTACTTTCCACAGTTTATTAGTCATCCTCAGATGAGAAAGTTCTGACATCAAGCACAAAAGATTCAAATCTCAAAAAGATGGAATACATGTTACAAATTTGAAAGGATAACAGATTCTTGTATTTTCTTTAGTTTTTCTATGTGATTTTGACATGAAGTGCTTTAAGTTCTTTTAAATATAATTTTAATAAATAGTTAGAATAATTTAAATAAACTCTTTTGTAAATTCTCAAATTTTAACATAATTTAATATTATATATTAAATACTTGTTTAACTTAAAAAAGAATTTATAATATATTATTAATCCAGTTTATTAAAATTCATCACTTTTGTTAAAATAATATGATTCTTGAAAACAGTAATAGTTTTAAATAGAACTTATAAATATTTTTTAAATTTAACTTCTAAACATAATTTTTCATACTCATCATTTAAATGACTATTTTATGTTTTATTAATAATAATTTAAATTTTTAAAAATTCTATAAAAAATTACCTCCATCACAAGATAAACATGATGTAATGTTTCCTAAAAATAAAACACATTAAATTAAAATTCTAAATTTGATTTTTGTTTTGCATTGAATATACTATATATTATTTTCTTACTTTGCAGTCAAGAAGAGCAACAACATTCTCATGATGAAGTTCTGCTAATTCCTAATAAAACAAGAAAAAAAATCAAATTATAATTTTTGAGAAAAAATATATTAATATAAAGTATTAACAAACAAAAATAGCTGTAAATATTTTTTTTAAAATATTATAATTTACATTATTATAACTTATTGCAAACAAAATATTAATTATAATTTACCTTAATATTTTGAGAATATCTTTCAACTTCTCTAATCAATTTACTGTACATTGATCATATTATATTTTTAGTAAACTAATTTAACTAAATTTCTAGAGGTCAAAACCACATATCAACTGTCAAAAATAATGATGTCTATTATAAATTAACATATTGAAATTTACTGTAGCATAACTCTCCCCGGGACTATAATAATAGTTAATGATCATTAGAAGCCTTGGTAAATATACCGTATTTTGACGAGTATACAGTCGACCCCCCTATAAGATATAGATACGTTCCATTCTTTAGGAATTTGATTTCTTACGAATTCTTCCAATCACAACCTGACACGTATCAAGTTTACGGACTATGGCTGTTTGAAAGATTTTCTTCCATAAAATTAATCATCTGGTGCAGTATCACCTCCTTACTGTGCCTAGAAAGGCATTTTGTGTGGTCCTCCTTTGATGCCTGTAGACTGTCCTTGATCAGCATTCACAGGAGGAGAAAGCTGGGTTTCACTGCGAAAGATTGTACAGCAAGCAGATCTCCCTTCAAAATATCATTGAACAATGCATTGAGTATCGACAGCCATTGGCCATCAATTTCATTGATTTCTAGAAGACTTTTGACCATGTTTACCGCGAGTCCCTCTGACAGATCCTGCAATTACATGGTGTACCGACAAACTTTGTCACCATTTTCAAGGCCTTCTACCTCCATTCAAGTTGTTGCAGACAGAAGGTGGTTATATGAACTTCTTTGCAATTGCAACAGGAGTCAGGCAGGGTTGTGTCCTGTTCCCTTTCATCTTCTTCATTGTCCTTGATTATGTCATGCGGTGGGCAGAAGAGTCTGGTGCATGCGTTGGGGCTAGCATCCACTGGTTTGACAAGGACTGTCTTGGAGATTTGGTTTTCTGATGATATTTTTCCTCTAATAGGGCAATATATCCTATTAGAGGAAAGTGATGCTACAGCATGTCAGACTGCATTGGGTCGGGGGACACACAAAATTGGCCTTAGGATAAACGCCGTAAAGACAAAAATTGTGCATGTATGTAACACTGCTTAAACGTGAACAGTAATTGTCAGGGCACAATAATTGGAGGAGGTGAAGAGATTTACCTACTTCAGTAGTGTTATTGCCCAAAATGGTGACGTGGAAATGGATGTGAAGTATCATATTGGAAAAGCAGCGGCAATCTTCTGGAGGATAAACAAGATCTGGTCCTCACCATCCATCTTATTGAGAATCAAATTCTGCCTGTTCACCTCCATCATGATTCTGATAGCTGTTTATGCTAGTGAGTCCTGGAAGATATCAGGAAACATCAATAGAAGGCTCTATGTCTTCCAACAGAGATGCCTACAACGAATCCTAAAGATCCGATATTTAGATCATATCACCAATGAAGAGGTTCTTCAAAGGAGTGGGATGTGCAAACTTCATAACATTGTTGCCCGTAGAAAAGTTTGATTAGCCAGCCACATTTTTCGTATGAAGAACAATAGGATTCCTAAAACAGCTATGAAATGGGTCCCCTGGTGCCAAACAAATTATGAGGACGCCCAAGGAATACTTGATGTAGAACTTTTCTTCAAGATTTGAAGATGCTCAATATGACCTAGTAGAAAGCTCAAGCCCTTGTCCATGATTGAAACCGATGGAAGATAATTGCTGTCCAGTATGCTTCCTAGCATTGGAGGAACTACTACTACTACTACTACTACTACTACTACTACTACTACTACTACTACTAATNGATATTTTAATATGTCTTATCTATAATATTAAATAATTAAAAAAATATATATTCTACAATCTACTTTTATAGAACTACAGGAAATCCTTGTTAATTTGAACTTGAATAGTTTGAAATCCTGTTAGTTCATAAACTGTAGTTCATCTTGTATTGTTTGTCTGGTCAGGAATATACAGATTTACAAGTTAAGGAATTCAGTTAGTTTGAAATACTGCTACTTTAAAATTCAAAGTGAAAATCCTGTCCAAACTGTGATATGTGTATGTTAACTCATTCATTTAGATTGAAGTTTGTGTGTCACCATACTGTAAGAGAACAATAGCCCATGAACAACTCTAATCTGGTTAATATGACTTTACTTTAAAATTAACACATTTTTAGATGGCTCCTTGCACATCAACCACCCTTTTCTCTTATCTCATAAAATACGATTGAATTTCAGGGTTCCAAGATATGGCTACAAGTAGCAGATTGAGATATTTGTAGGGCTCTACACTACTACACTTGGGCAACTTATTACTTTTTGGGTTACTTTAAAAATAATTTGGACTACATCTCAAGATTTCTGCTTTACTTTTTATAAAACCTATCTATATAAACAAACATCATCACTAAACCCAATATATTAAAGCTATACACCAACCAATGCCGAATGATAATATTTGACATTGGTTAGTGTATAGTAATAAAAGATAATTCATTTTCATATAGTTATAGTTCTTCATACTATTATGTTTATATTCTAAAATTATTTAACTAATTGACATCTAAATACAAATTCCAGCACATAATAAACAAAGGATGGCCAAAAATGTTCAAACATTTTTGGCCATCCTTTAGAGGCCTCATCAGCAGTTAGTTGATTATATAGTTCCAGTTTAAGTGTACCATTTTTTGTTTAAAATTATTCATGTTAATAATAACATGATGTTGAAACATTTAATTTTTCATAATTATAATCAATAATTGTTATCATACTATCACTTTTGGAGAATCATAACACATTTTTTTAACAAATTCATCTTTACAGAAATTTTTGAATACAGTATACAAAATAAAATTATAGAGCTGCATTAATAAAACTCAGTTTATTAAGCAAATTACTATTATAGCTTCAAAAAAAGTTTTTAATAGAAAAATAAATATTTTCCTATGGTCAACAAAAAAAAAAAAACAGAATATGAGAATAGATGATTTTAATGTAACCTTTAGGAAGTTTTATTCAATTCAAAATTTAAACTGCTCTATTTGTTACATATATATATAAAACTTAAAAGTTACCAAAACAAGAAAATAGGATATATATATAATCCTATTTTCTTTTTTCAGTAACTTTAAGCTAATTCTAAATAGTAGCAATTAAATTTGAAGAGTTCATGTATGAGTATGTAAGAGTATGTGTTTAAAAACAATTTTTAAAACAAGTAAAATGGCAAAACCGTATTTTGAACAAGACTATGTCTCGGAGACTCACTACTAAGCAGAATCACTTTGATACTCAAGGTGGGTCTCGTTCCCATTCTCCAATCTTCTTTGGTATCGCTGCTTTTGGGCATGATCGTTCAAACTTTGCCGGCCACGTCCACAATGCATTTTTGATGAAATTAATTTATCCAATTTCAAAATTTCTCTCCATTGTGTGTTAGCCTGGCTTGAATTTTTGATGATGTGTAATGAAAATTTCCAGTTTTTGAAAAAAATAATCATGGCTATTGCATTGTTCAAAATTATTTTTTTATTTGGCACAAACAATATACAGTTTAATTCGATTATAACGTCATTGGATGTAACAACAACCCTAATATAACGTCAAATTTTTATCAGTCCCACGATTTTACTATAGTATATAATGTTAAAAAACCTACTTAATGCAGCCCTGTTTTAATGTCATGTTTGAAGCACTCCCAAATTTACAAAATTAAATTACAAATTTTATTTAACATAATAATAATAATAATCTTTATTTGGCGTAAAAGGCTTTCGCCTGTTACAAGGGCGTTTGATTTTTAAAAATGCATATTAACATCTTATATAATCATGTCTTAACACCACTGATATATTCTATTTACAGATCTATAGAGTTACATTAATATTTTGTTATAATTATCATTTAATGAATTGTTTAATATAGTTATATAACATATAAATCGTGTTAGTATTAGCTCTGTCAAAAGTCTTAAACATTTCCATCTCACTATTACAGTTAGCCAGCGGTCCCATCTGGAGCCTTTGTAGTTTATCTTTTTCATTACAGCATTCACATATAATGTGAACTCTAGATAAAATTTTGGTACAATTCGGACATATAGTTTGGGTATAGTCTATATATTTATCGTTTATAATTATTCCATTTTTATTTAGCCTAATCTGTATAAAAAACTTTTTGATGTTAAAAGCTAGATTTGTCCATATATAATTATTATTTACTGGGTAATTTAAAATTGTTGCATTCCAGCTTGTATTTTCCCGTTTTTGTATGTCTTCAATGTCTTGAACGATGGAGAGCTCCATAGCTCTGTATATTATTTCTTTGCTATACTGCTCCATATTATGTGTACGATCCAACAACAATTTAATAGAGAATCCGTATTTATTTACTATCTTCGATAGCTGTATTATCCAACTTCGTCTTAAATCCGTTTCCTTTGATTTGTGATATAGTAAAAACAGTAATTTTGTTGTTATGTCTTCTGCCTTAATAATTTTTTGTAGAAACATTAAATATCTTTTTATTAATATAGTGTTTAGTCTAAATCTATTTGTTTCTAGTCTTAAAGCACTGCCCGGGATATTAAATTCTAACTGGAATATCTTGCGTATAAATATATTCTGTATTTTTTCGAAATCATTAAATTTATCCATACTCCAAACTGGGGCCGCATAGCCCATTGAATTCATTACAAGTGAATTAAAAAGTCGAAAGTGTGTTCCCAAGTTCTTTAGTTTTGTCTTACAGAATAGACCAATTAAGTTATTTATTACAATTTTTGCTTTATTTATTGAATTTTTATAATGTTTCTCAAATGAAAGGTTTGGTGTAAATGTTATTCCTAAAAATTTTATTTCCTTAACTATCTTCACTTCTTCTTTATTAATAAAAAAGAACA